TTGGCTCATTTCAGAGTCTAATAACATTGGGATCGCATTTCATTGTCGTTAAATTACGATGCTAGTATCCTAATAAAAATAAATTGAAATCATCTTCACGTACAAAGGGACAGCGTGTAGGAAACTAAGGTTATGAATATGGATGTTAATTGAATATCTAAAATTGAGGCCCATTCCAATTATTACATTCATATTCCAGGTTCCCTGTTCCAGATAGAGTTAGAGAGAAATTGATGACACAGAAATGCACTTACGGGTACGCCATCATGACCTCAATTACTGAAGAGTAGATAATAATGCCCTAGTTTTCTTGTGTCTGGCCTATTTTTAAAATATATATCTCATGTTTTAAACTTATTATTTATTTCAAAACATGTTTTGAAAAAAAAAATGTGATTTGCTTTTTTAAATAAAACTTACATAGATTCAGTTCATGTTAAGATTTACAGACATCGACAAGGAAATGGAATAGGGAAAAAGAAGATACAAAATGTCAACAATTTAATATACTATATGAAAAGCAAATTTACTTTTAATTGAAGTTGAAAGCACTCGGTGCTTCTTGAATAAAATTTTGGATTTTTTTCCATGCATTAAGCCTATCGTCTGGAAATCTGTACGACTGTTTCATGTTGTTTTAATGTTCGGCTTTGGTCTGAATCATTGAGTGAATACGAAATTATTGTATTATGCAGATGTCTGTCAAAACAATTTCAAAAGTGAGAGAAAGTCTATCTTAAGCAAGTTTATATAGGCCTAAGAATTTAGGACATACATCATGCAAGAAAAGAAGGGCGCCGCCTACGTTGGGCACGACTTCCGCCTCATTTTTACAATGCGAGAACTCTATCTTGTATTTCTAGTATCTTTGATGACGATCCATTCAGATTATTGCCCCTGACGGTGTCGTGTCAGGAAACGGAGTTTGATTCGTCTGCTGACGGTCGTACGACCGTCGTCGACGCAGTGAGTGCCCGACATTTGGTGTGTATTCAGTTATTATAATCAGCCAGTGCTTAAATTTGTCTTTGCTAATCTAGTAACGATGGGAATATCCACCATTATTGTCGTAAATTATATATAAATATAATTATATATAAAACATATAAATCATACCAGGGAACAGTTAACACCGTTCCCTGATCATACAAAAATTATCATTTATCAACTTGTAATGAGATGAAAAGTTTAAAATAATTCAGATTTCGAAAAACTACAAAATCTTTACTCCTAATTTTTTTCACTGATTACCTGCCAATTTAAAGGCCTTTTCATACAATATTTGATCGGTATTAATTAAGCGTTCGTTAATTGATGAGAAAAATTTTTCTCAGCCAAATAACAAACAGCGGTGGTGCAAGACAGCCGGGCCGTTATTAAACCTTAGATAATTGTTAGGGCCGCAGTATTTAATCAGCTGCGAATTATTCGCCATATCACTTATTATAGGCCTTTGCTTACCTATATTTGCTATATATCAGGGATCTCCCTGGTTATATTTCAAATAAATGCACGATACTAGGTAAACTAAATAATTATTAAGTAGGCCTATAGTATGGGCGTGTCAATCATAATAAAGAAAAATATATATTTTTTTATTAAGTGAAGTTTCTGTTATAATCCATAGTCATATTTGTTTATTTTTATATCTGCATGCGTTTTAACCTCGGGTCTTCGGCTGAACTTGTCGAATCAATAAATTCAACATTTAGGTCTAGTGGTCATCAGTCCGGTTCTATTGTTCTAAATAAGTCATTATGGATTAAAATCTACAAAAAGTATTATTATAGAGACGTATTTGTTATTCTCGTAACGATGGAAATGCTCTCACATTAATGTCGTAAACTATGGGAAAATATAGGCCTATAACTCATACAAAAATAATCATTTATGAAATTCTATACTATATGATTTTCGTTTTCTGAAAACAGCCTGTTCTTCCTAACATCTAACTTGTTCTACGAGAGAACTAAGTCGCAGGTCGCTGTGGCTTCATCTGCGTAAGTTATCGCCATTAACGAGTTACGTCATAAAAAAAAAACGCGCCCCACTTTTTTTTTTATAATAATTATCTAGGGAGCTATGTTTCGTATTAATAACAAGATTTTAGTAAGACCAACCATGGAATATAGGCCAGTAACCGTATCAATAGATACATAGGTGGATTAGAGTAGGCCTATAAAAGAAACAGATTAATGAAAGAGGCATTTTACTTGTTCCACAAGTACATACGCGAACCATCAATGATACTTACGCATGCGCACAAGTCAGCCGTTTATGAAGAGTATATCTAAGGTGTACATCGTGCTTGCTTTTTAAATTATGCTTCGCCAAGTAAAGGCAGTAGTGCTTGTGTACGGTAATTATTACGTCATCGCCATCATTAATATTGTTTATTAGTAATAATAATATAATAATAACAATAATAATAATAATAATATTATAATAATAATAATAATAATAATAATAATAATAATAATATGTAACTATTAAGATACCAGCGTTTATTATCATCGCCATCATTAATATTGTTTATTAGTAATAATAATATAATAATAACAATAATAATAATAATAATATTATAATAATAATAATAATAATAATAATAATAATAATAATAATAATAATAATAATAATATGTAACTATTAAGATACCAGCGTTTATTATAAATAGTATTATTTTAAATATTTGATTGGATTGTTTCAATATAAACAATTTTAAGTATTAAGGAATTAAAACATTGATATTGTAAATGCATTAAATGCATTAAAATTTTAATTAATATTAGTGGTGAAATATTGAGTGTTAAGCGTACCTAAACATCACCATCCGTAAATTTCATCTTCCGCCCATCGTTAAAAAATACCCAAGCTATATAACCACCCTTTAAGTGTGGATCGTGTGTACTACCTTGGAATGAGTATAATAAACAAATACATTTATATAGCGTTGATGGATTGATATCCGGTAACCGTTATAGTTCTTTGACCCCTTATAGCACTTTAAATAGTCAAGGTAGCCGCCGCCAGGTAAGCAGCTGTAACAGAATCACAAAGTCAATGTACTATAGACCTACACGGCATTATTATGAATATCGTATACTAACCATTTCTTATAATGTGAATAATGCCTACTCGTGTTTCTGTGCGTACAGGTAACGATTATTGAATTGTAATGGAGTAATTAATCATAAATTTTAATCACTAATATAATGAACTGGTACAGTAACGCATTAAATGTTAATGATGGTACCGGTACTATAATACAGGCTATTGTCAAAACTGCACAAAAATGAGTTTCAATATTGCAACTATTCAAGATTCCGTTTATTGTCATATACAATATACAACAGTTCATGCACAATACAAAAAGTATAGTGCATGAACTATAGACGCAAATACGCACAAATAAAGACAGTTAGTTGAGCGTCCGCCCAATCGAACACTTTGGTGAGGTGATGCCGATAATAAGAATAATAATAATATTTATTCGGCAAAGTAAAAAGTATACATACAATATTCTTGCCAGGAGTAAGTAAAAGGCATAAGCCCAAACAGTAAACTGCTCTTACTCCATTATCAAAAACAAATACAATGAAAATACAATATAAATATATACAAAAAGTAAATTCAAAATAAATTGATTTAATTATAACAAAATGAAAAACAGAGATAATTAATAGTTATTATTAATAACATTCGATGCGCGAATATGTGTCCAGCATCTTTGTTATTTCTAATGCTTTGCAGATTTTTGGTGGAGAGGGTAAACGAAAAGAATGAGATGGACGAAAAGGTAAAAGAAGGTAAAAAGTGGGAAATGGTTTCAAAAAATGAAATGGAGGATGGATGTCGAGGAATATGAGGTGGAGGAATGATCACGACGTATAAGTGTATTTCATAATAGATTCGAAGTTAAAAAGCCAATAGGTTATGGACAATCACATCATTAGTCCTAAATAGAAGCGTACTTCAGAGCGTGTAGTGATGAATTGTTTCATTACCTTTATATATAACTGTAGTACGGTAACCTGCTCATTATTAACCCACTGTTCTCCAGCATGGTCTAACGGGATAACAAAATCTTAATGAGCATTGACACTAAAATTATTACGTCAACAGAAATCATTTTGGTTCTTGATATGATTTAAAACTGGGTATAAAAGGTGAGAAGGTGAATTTTCTACTCAATCAACTACAGTTTGTTCAGCAAATTAAAGAGGATACGGTAGTAATATATAGGCCTTAGTGAACGATTTATTTATCCTCTGCACAAAAAGACCGCCTGGGGGAGTTTTTAAACGAATAAAAACTTTATTCCCTCTGGCTGTTTACCCTACGTTTACATTTTGCTAATCACTACTATATCTCAACCGAGATCTAGACATAATTTTCTTCAGTTTACGCATATGTATACAGAATTGTATATAAAATCTACGCAATATTTACCAACATATGTAATTTGAAAACCGTTCTGCATTCATCAAAATGTGTGAAAAGTGAGTAATTAAACGAACTTGGACCTGACATTATTAGGGAAAGAGGCGCCTTAAATTCTCTTGCATTCTTAGCGGTGACATGTTGAAAGTGTTGAGTTGGTTGTTGATCAAATCATTCTCATTCGTTAAAAGATCAGGCTGCGCGTCAGGACGGAAGCGTGAGCCCGAGGTCTTCGTACCGATAACCTTAATATTTCTATATCGTTAGCATGTCTTTTTTTAGATGCTATCACGTTTGTCCTTATCATGAACTATCAAAGAAACAAATCTGTCGTTTTCTGTCATATTCAAACACCTGCATTCTTTAAGTTTCTACAAATAGATAAATAATAATCGAATACTGTAAAACCTAGGGCCAGATTGGAAGGCAGGTATCTTAACCAAATAAAATCATTTTCTTTAGGCAGTAATTTATCGGACAATATAATTTATAATGTTTACGTTAGGTAAAATTATTATTGTTTTTGACTGGCAATGTTGTATATTTCTCTCGAAATACAGTGTCACACTGGAATTGGCGCTGATGCGTTGTTTGACCAATTCTACCGCAAACCACCGATGAAGATGCTCCTTGGATGCGCATGCTCAGAAGTTTCGAAGCATATAGCAACCATCACACAATATTGGGACGTTGTAATGGTAAGCTGTCACTTGATAGGCTTATACGTATTTAAATTACTATATTATAATATGTATACGCGTACGCACTATATTTAATCCAGTATTATGTAATACCATGAAATAGTTTCGAACTCAAATGAAGATAATCACACATAAACTGTTAATAATAATATTAAATACAAAATATAATATACCGTAATCTGGTTTGATTTCTAAGAAGTAAAACTAAATCTCTGTCGCACAAATCGATATCTTGCAACCGATGAAGGATGCTTCAATTATGAGCGCTTAGAAATACACACTTAAGCTCGCGGTTTCATATGCTTCCCTGTCCATATTATTTCCATCTACATATTTTAACATACACATTCCGTTGAATTAGTTACTTTATTGTACGTTCTGTTATATTTCGCATATTGTAATTGATTACAGCTTGGTTATTTTTTTGTTTCTTGTTTCTTGATTGTGCGTGGATGTTGCTTATTGTGTTTCAACTCACAGCGAGTTGTATTTAAGAAGATATCTTTTAACAGTTTCGTCTGTTGGAATGTTATATTAGGCGTGAAGCTATAATTCTTTTTTGCAACTCACTTTAACGAGTCGAATGTTCCGGATTGATTTGCCCTTAGTGGCACGATCTCTGGATTATACCGCGTTAATAACGGCCAGACACTTTGACCAGGACTCGATATTTACAATCGCTAAACTCCCAAATGCATGTTCGCGTCGTGTTTTATTACCCACACTAAAATGTTTAAATTTGTAAGCTAACATTGACTGCATTTTAAAACAATATATGTCCTTTCAGCTTTCATATTTGTAGCCAAAGACCTTATTGTTGAACTTTAGATGCACACTACGTACGTTTTATTTTATTATTTAGTACCGTAATGCATTTATATAGCCGTAGAAGCTGACAGCGAATTGAAGATTTTTGGAGCGGCAAGCAAAAGAGATGCTTTACTGTTAGGCCTATACTTATTCTTAGCGTTCTGAGGAAGGGTGCAATCACAAAATCCATTTTGAAATAATGATGTGGATAGATCAAATTTAACGAAAGAAGATTTAGCAATGATAATGTCGATGTGATTGTGTTCCAAAATAATAATTTCTGTAGATCACTAGCACTTCCTGGTAATTTATTAAAATATTTCTATGCATTAGGCCTTCATGTTTATCGCATTAACTACAATTGCAGGACATCAAGTTCATACAGCGGGCACTAGCGTCCATTTAAAGTTGTGGTTGCTTGTCGCTGATTGGTGGATACATAAATCGATACACGCAAAACTAATTAAATCGTTTTGAACTATACGATGTACGGTACAGTATATCCGTGATCAGTTAAATCGATCAACATCATTTTGAGCGTCACAATGATTTGATCTAAAAAATATTGCAAAAAAAAAGTGTATTTTTTAGACCATGATATATTATTTTGCGATTCTCGTTTAAGTACAACCAATTCAAAGAAATCCAAGAGGTTCTGTTTCAACAAAATGTTTCAACTTGCAATGGTGCAGGCCTACGATTAATACAAACATTACGAAAGTTAAGTAGATCTGGTGTAGTTGTCCCCTAATGCAACATTGCTCCTTATGAAAACGCCATATGGCAAAATCACCTCGTACAAAGCAGTCACTTAGAGAGCCACTTCTTGTTAGCAACAACAATCCACTCCCCGGTAAACTCTTTCATTTAAAGTCGCACTTCAACCAGTTCGCGATATAATGGAACGCCCCATGAGGGCGTCCATGAGAGCAATTTTCCTCCATTCGAGCGGCGGCGCTATATCTTTGATTGGTTAGATAACTCTCTGGTTTGTTTGTTTTCATTAGTTTCTCCATTCCATGAAATAATTTTCCTCCATTCTAGAGAGAGCGGACGTTCCATCAAAGTAAATGCAAATTACGCGAAGCGCTCATTCTTCTGCCATTTATATTCTTTGCTTCAACATACTCACACTAACCATTATAGTGTACTGTATACCAAGCAATAAATTGAAAACGTCATAATAACTGTCGATCCATCAAAATGTTACGTTTGACGGCGATAGATATAAGCACCTTATGACCTAAGCTAATAGTAATAACATTACGTGACATTAAATGTTAATATTTGAAATAAAAACTCAAGAAATATTCCCTCGTTAACATTTCCAAATGCATTTCTTTAAAATATAGTACATGTCTTGAGCACAGTATAAATTAATGTTAACGCAAGCTCAAGAGGGCGTTATTTGAGTAAAAATATATCCACCCAGAATAAAGCTGCATTCACATCGAATCCGAACCGAAATTCTGACTGCGTTTCCGATGCGCTGAATGCAAGCGTCCCGATTCTTAAGTTGCATTCACACCGAATCCGAATTTTCGGATCGTAAGGCCTTCCGAAAATCGAATCACTATGTAAAACGCATACAATCGCTACACGCTATCACTGACAGCTTTCGGTAAAGCTCGGTTTCCTTACAATCGCTTACCCTATCGGTGACAGTAGCCGACATATGGCGGGAAGGTTGAACATGGTTCAACTTTTCCGATTGAGCTGCAGACGAATCGGGGTGCCTTACCGATTGTGTTGGGGCAACTAGCAATGCACCCTGTGTATATCACATTGTCACATGACATTTTATAATGTTGACCGACGTTTAAACGTTTTTTTATTTTTTTTTTTAATTTTATGTGACAAATAACTGTGATACGCCTATATTTGAGTGCAATATGACATCGTCATGGGCACATTAATAGAGTACCACAGTCGTGTCGTCACGGCGTCAGATGGCGCTCTCTGTTGTCAACAGACGTTGGTTACCGCTCATTACGCCTGAATGACTGCGTAGGCTTTCCTGAATAGGCATTTTAAAATCTAATAATTTACCATCAAAATGTACTAAAAACACAAAAGCTCGCATTATATTAGTTATCGAACACACATTTAATCATCAATCAAAAAAGAAAAAGTAAGATACAACATCTTAATAATTACGTTAGAAATTGCGATCAATGGTTGTCAGTGGCGAAAATGGCGTCCGGTTGAACTCTTTTTGCAACGATAGCAATGGAGTAGCATCACGTGGTATCGTGACGTAACACTGTAGTACTTTATACAAATTTGTCACATAAAATGTAATAGTGGGGACGCAGCTTTAGACATTTAAAAAATATCAAAAGCGAAAGGTCAAGAATCTAACATACGAAATATTAAATATAGATCCTTTTTCATTAAAATTAATGCTGATTTATTGGCTGATGTCAACTTGGTTTAAGGCCAGATTTATGTAGACTCTGATAATCTTTATTTCCAAGTATCATCGATCGGTTTATTATTTTTAATAATTAAAATAAAATATTAATAATAGATAGCTATTGAAATTTAAGCTGTATCCATCAATTTCATTGTTTCTAAGAACTGAAATCGATGACACCAACATTAAGCAATTAATAATCAATGTTTATGTAATTTCATTTCATTTACTTATTCGACCAATACACATTTACAAAAGGTACAGTACAACAAAAATTATGGTCAGGGGCAGCTTAAGCAAAATTTTACTGTAACTCATTGAGAGTCAGCTGCCCCATTAATAAATATAAACATAAAAGGCATTTAAATACAATATAATAAATAGCAGAAATCTGAGGCCTATCATAATTTTTTTTTTAAATCAAAATTGCTCTTACTTAGTATGTAATAACTGATATATAATTTATATAAGGAGAAAATTACCGAAATGATCATATTACAGATAAGTTTAGTATTAATGAAGGAAAAAGAAAAAAAAGTAGGTTCATATAAACTTAATTGTATACTAATTAAATAAATTTCAACAGTGTAGATACAATAATTAATAAATATATAAAGTTAGTAAAAGGAAGAATTTAGAAATCTTTGTCAGAAAAATAGTTATGAATGTCCATGAGAGAGTTGGTAAGAGATTGTAGTACTATAGAGTGATATGGAGTGTCTCCTCGCTTCTCCTTTAGTATACCTCTAGAAGCGAACCCCTGTATACGTTCAATTCGTTCCATGTCTTTCTTTGAATGTGGAAACCATTTAAGTTCAAAATTGTTTTGGTTTAGCTATAGCATACTTTATACAAATCACAAACAACAGACTATCTTTAGTTTCAGGAAAAAAAATGACTGACAACATATATTCTGGCTGCTAATTCGCCAAACGTGTTAAGTGTCTATTTTGATTAAGACGCTACACATCTTGGTTAACTACATTTGCGTTCTAAGAAACCTTTCTACTATGTCCTAAACATCTTAATCAGAATTAATTGTGTTTCGTCACTGACCAGCGGATAATTAGATGGATGAGGCACGGTATCTGCCCGTAGTGAAAACAATCTCCGGAGAGTTTAATTCGGGCCAGTCGATGGTAAATGTACCTAGCGGCTTGCAGTCATTTAAGATAATTTCATCATTACCATCGATATTGTTGTGGAAATCAACCAAGGAGACGGCTCCCAGTTTATTAAAGCGCATTTCAGGTTAATTTACACTAACATGGATCAGATGCAACCACAAGCGGCTTCATGCAAACGGAAACGCGGCTATTCAACTGTTATTTCATTCTCCCTCCTGTCAATGGGGTTCTGGTCTGCGCACGTGTTAGTCGGAGCACACGAACTACAGCAGAGTTAAGTGTGATTGGTTCTGGTACCACCATTTCACACTAAAAACAGATTTTTGTATTTATACACAACACACTAGATTTCTAGATTATAACAAATTCTTATAACGCTCCTTTATATATTGCTCAGCTATAATATATACAATTAAAGTAGAAATACCTTACTTAACCATGGAGGTACACAGATATATTTTTAACGCCATGAATTAACTACTGCTTGGCTTCTTGGGGGTCACTCATGCAATACCGTTTTGTCTTGCTGGCAAATCATGGGAATTCCTGATGGACCCGAGTAAAGGCCCATTAGTAGCGTCGCTTGTGTGTGCGCAAATGTTAATCATCGCGCGTGAACACTCGACTGAAATATCACGCGCGTATGATATTTGTACGTCTGTTTCTAGTCACATCTCTTCTTGGGCCGTCGCCTACTTTATTGTTTTAAATTCAAGTGGTAAAATACCCAGACAATTATGTAAAAAATCAATCTTGTTTCGACAGTATTCATATAAGAGTGTTTAAATGTTCTAAAAAGAGCATCATCGTCTGTTTAAAAAAATTGAATTTGATATATATATGTATACAAATGTATACTGTATGTATTATACAGACTATGTATAATATAATAGTCTACAGTACACGTTGGCTTTCAGGAGACAGACATGTTGATCTATTTTATATTAGGTAATTTATATTAAAGGCATTTTAGTTTACGTTGACCACCCCTGAATCACCTCTACAGTCGTATTGACCTGAAACTTGTTTCGAAAAAGGTCAATCTTGAATTCTATTATTATTCTTCATGCTCTTTAAATCTTGTTCAGTTTGCTAAACGATGATATGCTTTGTTGACTATTGCTGATATCGTCGCTCACATCACTAACTAAGTAGATTGTGTTAGTTCGTGAAATCACAGTAGCGCGTCAAAACGAGCGCGTATTGGTTGTCAAGCAATTTTGTATTCTTTACCACACAAAAAGTCCTTAACGACAACAGCGCGTTTTTTGATTTACCTCGAGATAATTACCAACATGAAACGTAGACTGTGGACATAAATCTTCAGGTTTACAATTTGCCATTCCAGATTAAATGTCAGAATAATATTCTTTCAATAACCCTTGATACTTAATATTTTCTATCAAAGTATTTCATTGAGGCCGTGTGACGTCAGCAATCCATTTATATATTTTTTTTAAAGTTTATATAATAATCGATAATAATTGGTAATTTATTGTAATTAAATGTAGTTTAAGGTTTTTATTACATTTCATATAATTAGCCTGTATACTTTAATTATCAATTTTGCAATAAATAATCTCAAGAAATATTCTAAATCAATTATTTAATCAATTTGTATATATAATAATGTCATATTTGAGAGCGGCATATTTCTAAATTTGTATTTTTTTGTAATTTTACCATGTAAAGCTCTTTTCGACATGAATATTCATGAAAAGTGCGCTATGTAAATTTGGTAAATAAACTAGGTAAATAGATTAAAATCGATGAACCAAAATTTATTAAAAATCAATAGATCTATTGATTCAACCCGACAGATTGATAGATTCAAATGATCATTTGACCGAAATTGACCGATTTATCAATAAAGATAATGTATTACTCAATGCAAATGGATGAATCAATGGATTTTAATTAAATTAGTTATAGATCTAAATCAATTTATTAATTGATCCAAATCGATAGGTCAATTGATCAATATTGATGCAAAATCGCAACAAACAATAGACCAATTGATAGAAATCGATGGAACAAAATATCAACATTAATAGTTTATTCATCTATTTAAATCGATATATTAGTAATCGATTCAAATTGACAGATGAATCAGTCGATAAACGTGTCAACGTCATGCAACTCAGTCACATTGGTTGCCATGTAAAACCCTGCCAGACTATTAACATTTTATTTGACATACCTAAATATGGTCATGATGACATCACATCATGACCATATATAGGCACATCATGACCATATATAGGCACATCATGACCATATATAGGCACATCACAATTTTTTTGTCAAAATAAAATTTGAAAATCTTGACAGAGCTTTAGATACTTAAATATAATATAAATTAAATAATTTGTATTTAGAATTTAATTAAAAGTCATTGCATGAATGTAATAATAAGCAATCGTTTCTTTTTTTACAATCTTGCAACGGCTAGAAATAAAATTAATTGGACTTTACTTTTATTTAAAGTCAAATTAGGCTTACGGATTTCAAATGCACACTGATGCTGTGGTAATGGTTGCGTGTAGTGTCATCTGCGTCACACAGAGCGTTTTGTTTCTTTGCTAACCTGTGGCGGCAAAATATCTTATTACACCAAATGAAATAGACCTATTCTAGAGAGTATACAATAAAGATAACAATAATAACACAATAGATAATGACAAAAGGAATCACAAATATAAATTCAATGAAAGCTGTTGAAATGTAGGCCTAAGGCATGACCAAGACCGAAGTAGGTTAGAGCGGTAGAGTTTGTGTCAACACATTGGCGTATAAGTAATAATAGTCAGTTGTTTACTACTAGAATACTATGAATAATTAACGTTATTCTTAAATAAATAATACTTATGAATACGTTATGATAATCATAAGTTCTTATGGTTTACCACAATTTGGAACATGAACATAAAAAAACTAATATCGTTTATTTTGCTTTACTTGCAGTTATCATATGCATCTACGTCCGTGGCTCTATCAAAGCGGGAATTGTACCCAATGTTTTTCAGAACCGTAACCCCAGACTCGTCGCAAGGCAACGCACTAGGAGCGTTTCTCTTCAACTTCAATTGGACAACAGTAGCTAGCCTGACTTACGATATAGAGCTGTACTCGCTTGTACGTTCAATAATTTTTCACTGTAATATTTTTAAGCTAACATGTATATAGCAACGTTTGTGATTTGTCAGTCTAATTCAACGAATATCAAACTGACAAATCACAAACGTTGATACAATGTTTGTTATTTGTCAGTCTAATCATCGGATGAGCTGCTATTTAATACATTCGTTCAGTAATCATACCGACCGTGCGCGGATAATTTGATATTCATCTAACGCTTGACGGAGGTTAGAAACTTGGTTGGACAAGTAAGAATAAAATGGAAAATTAACTTCAAATCCTGTGTTTATATATTGTATCATTATTATTTATCATCATCGTCATCATAATCTCCGCCATCATCATCGCCATCATCATTTACCATCACCTTCATCATCATCATCATCATCATCATCATCATCATCATCATCCTCTTCATCATCATCATCTTCATAATCGTCATCATCATCCTCATCATCATTATCTTCATCATCATTCTTCCTTCATCATCATCATCATCATTATTATTATGAATATTATTAAAAGTATAGCCTAATTCTTAGATTTGTATTACTTTTATTATTGTTAACAACGGTGGTTTTCCTGCTTTTGCGTCTCCCGGGCAATGATGCCAATTGAATAAATAAATAAATATACATATTTTTGATGATATTTGTTTTTACCTCATAAATCAAGATATGAGAATAACATGACTTACAAATAAACTAAAAATATAAACTCAGATGCTCGCGTAGCGTCACGAATGCTGCACTGCTAGGCTGTGCGCCACGCGAGGAGGTAGTAGCGTGTGATCGTCTTTACTTTTTTTTTTCAATTGGCTGTCACGTTAGACGAACGCAATCATTATATTACTTCCGTAAAGTATTACAACCTTTATTGCATTAGTCGTATGCTATCTTACTTGATTAGGATTTTGGGAATCGTTAGCAATGGAGCAGGGGACATCAGTTGTGAGTTATTATTACCCTATTTGCACTAGGCCTATATGAATACAATCTACGGTATGTTCCGCCCGAGCAATGACCTCTCCACGAATCATTCCACACACACTCCCCACCCCATTGGTGTCTGTGTGATGTCAATAATATAACAAGACATATAGACGAGCTCTTCACATGTTGCTAAATTTCCTGGTTGTTAATTTTTTCTTTGCGTCTTTCCCGATATTAATACATGAATACGTAAAAATGAATAAACTACCTCCAAATGATCTAACACTAAAGCCGGACACTCACTCCGTCGTACGGCGGTCGTACGACAGTCGACCGACGAATATAACTCCTCCGTCTGCTGACTGTCGACGGCAGTCTGAACGGATCGACATTTAAAGCGATCCGCTGCGCGCGCGTTGTGACGCGTTGCGTTCTCCGTCGTCGGGCATAGTGTGAGTGGTCGACTTTAGAATGAACATCCTCTGTTGGGAATTAAATGCAACAAGAGTGCGTATGATCCTACGATTGCTTGGAAACGGATACACGCGTAGTAAAACCACATTTTTATATCTAACTTGATATTGGTTTTCATTTTACTACCAAACAGGCAGCAAGGGAAAACATTGATTTAATTGAATCAAATGGAAAAGTGGAATTTGCTACAAAAGCTTTGTTCGTTGATGATCCAGGTGCAGAACTTGATAAGATAAAGGTAGGACAATTTGACAACAAGATAATGATGATGATGATGCGGATTACAATTATGATTATGATGATGAGGATGAGAGAATGATAATTATGATTGTCACATAATAATGAGTATTATGATAATGATTATGATGGTGATGATGATGGTTGTCATAAAGATTATAATGATGATCATGATGTCATGATGATGAGTGCAGAATTATATATAACGATTATGATGGTGATCGTGAGGAGTCATAAAGATAAAGATAAGATTATGTCAAATGCTGATGACTATTATAATAATTATGATGGTGATGATGAAGATTGTCAAAAGGATTAAGGTTATGACGACCAGGATTATATTGATGAGGATTGTGATAAATATTATCATTATGATTATAATAATAAGGATTATGACGATGATTATGATAATTATGATTCGTTGATTAGCGTTAATTAATTGTTTTATTGATTAATTTATTTATTTACTAATTAATTTATTGATTCTTGATTTGTTTGTTGATTGATAGTTTAATTAATAATATCATAACACTAATAATTTTAGTACTAATAATTATTTCCTTGACATTTGGGCAAAGTAACTGACAATAATAATAGTAGTACTGTAATAATGATGATGATAAATAGTAATAGCTCAGTATTGCCAAAAAGGGGTCGACAAAGTTAAGGAAATTATAAATAAACATACGCCGATGCTCGTAGTAAGAACAAAATATTTTTGAAAGGCGATTACAATATAGCTAATAAGCCGATGTCAACGGATATTAGAAATTTAGAAGGAAGAATTAATCAATATAGTTAATGATGAATGTGACTGAAGCTCATAGACCGCAGGATCGTATTGCCTTTGGTCGGACGAACACTATGCCTAGAAGATATGAACAACAACATATGTTTTTCAAACGTATGTCACAATTGATTTCCCTGCCGGTAAATCTTTTATGAAAATTAATTGACTGCTTCAACTCAATGACCAGATTTTCAGATTTTTAAATAAGTTTAAAACAATACTCTATAATAATATATTTATATCTTAGTCAGATTTCTCTTCTATCTTGCGTTTTATATGAAATTATTAATGCACTACCTGGCTTGCTGTTACTATATGGTTTTTACATATGTCTATACACTGTATAGCGTATAATCAAACCCGGCACTCCCGTTTCATATTTGCTTGGAATTCCATTTTGTTTGGCGGCAACTACATGTTCACTTTATTTCTATATACGCGTAACGGCAATGTTTTCAAAGCCCTACGCCGGCGATCAAGGATACTTCGTCAAACGAAAAACAGGATTCAATTAGAATTAGATACGGTACTTTTTATATATTTATATATAAGGATATAATGTAAAATGTATAATATATGATGTAAAATATAATATATAGGCATATATATATAAATATAAATATATATATATATACCTTTAAATCCAACTTTATGAAAAGTAATGGTGATTTTTAAAATAAATGTTTATATATATATATATATATAAATATATATATATATATGAATGTATGTAATATATATATATATATATATATAATTGTATGAAATGAAACGATTGCATATACAGAAACATACGTGGAACATATATATAGGAAATATATACAGTATATATATATATATATATATATATATATATATATAGGCCTATATACATCATTATATCCAAATTTAGGCTAGAATGACGAATTTAGTTAATTGAGTTATTATAGTATATTAGATATCGAGTTAGCTGTCATTGATGATTAGTTTCACATCGTTCGTTTATAAAAAGAAAAAAACCCAAGATTAGCCTTTAACCTAGCCTCGGTACCGAGCGCATGTTCACTGCCTCGGGCTTTAATTTACTACGGCGCTCAATAGGTTCGACTCGCTCTAATGAACTCGTATGAATTCTTAATTTAGCCTACGTTAATACTGTTATCACATGATGGTCAATCCTAATTATATTCTACTGATTCTGATATCATATACAAAGTGCTACACGCAAATAATTGCTTTACATTATAGCCGGTCATCACTACGCCGATGGTCGTCGGCCGACGCAATTCCATAGAGAACGCAACGAATCGTTTTACGGCGTCGCGTCATCTAGCGCTTCCATGGAGCAAAGTTTGATTCGTCGGCCGACGGTCGTACGACGGAGTGAGTGCCCGACTTCAGAGTTCGGAGACTTTATTAGACACATGGAAACTAAATTAGTGACGATTTAAAATACAATACAAATAACATTACCAAAACGATTACAACCAGTCTCATTAAATTTTCGTATGAAGCAATTAATTAGACTTAATTAAGTAGATGGCTAGTCCATTAATATATTGTGGATTATATCACGAGGATGTTTAAAATGCTATATCTACTCTTTGACAGGAACAAGATCGTCGAATAATTGTGGGTACATTCGGTGAAGAAGAAGCTAGAAAGGTTTTCTGTGAGGTAGGCTTTTGCATCACTTATTCCCAATTTACAGAACAAAACAGAACACTCAACTTTGTTTACAATCACAGAATTACATAGAAAGTTAGGCCGGGATTAGTTTCGGCGCCACCACGTTTAACCACTTCTGTGTCATCGATATTTTGATGTTTTTAATAGTAAACATTATTAACAATGGCCAAGAGATTTTGTGGGTAGAGTAATCCTTCTTTCTCTTTTAATAAACAACAATACACAACATGTTATTTCGGGCACGCTCTGGGATCGTTGTGTACGTTACAACGCCAGAGTACATTAGACTTAAGTAGAAGCTTATATGTCAGTCCCGAAGAACGTTGCAATAACAGCGCAAGGGGATATCAGAAATTAAAACAATAAAAGACGGTTTGTTGTCAACGTCATCCTTATTCATAAGGATGCTGATGACGGTGATGGTGAGGATAATAATGATAATTTTTAAGAGTAATGACAATTATGATGATCCAGGAGATTGGTCATTATTATCATGATTATGACAACCACGAAGATGGTGACGATGATGGTGATGATAATAACGCTCGTATTTATGTTAAAATGTTTCGAGGTGGTTGTAAGAAAAGGAATACAATAATGTAGGCCTACTGTACAATTACCGTAAATTATCTTTAAAAGGACTACCACAAATTATCGCATCACAAACTAAAAGAATAATATGCCTATTTGAAATTAATAAAGGTGATGATTCTAAACGACATAAAAAAAGTCAAATAAAGATATTAAATCGTCTTTCACGACATAACAACATCGTTACTGTGGATATTATATAATAATCGATTAGAGCTCAGGTAGTCAGGTGCAGTTGACTCAGTACTAGATGTAAACATGTAGCCCGTCATCACCTGCCCCTCAGATACTACATTTAACCGCCTTGTTCTCCATTTGAAACTGGCGAGAAGGGCTGTGAAATGCTTATGACGCTTGGGACTTAATCCAAGGATTCGAGTTAACTGGGGTCAGGTTGACATGGGGCCGAGTTCCTTGGAGCCGAGTGATTGGAGCCGAGTTGTTCTGTTCCCTCTAAAGAACCAGGCACACTGCGTTTGTGGCCAACGGTCGGCTGGCAAATGCATTTCCGCACGTGTGAACTGTTGACGACGCGCAACGTCGTCTGTATTGTCGTCGGAAGTATAAACGGATCGTCGTTGAAAAACGATCTTTCGCCTGCTCCTCGTCGCGTAAAGATACGGCCATGAAATCGCTTACGAAGTGTCCGCCCACATTACGGTTACTCTAGCCAGAAAAAGACAACGCTGCCATCTGCTGGTAATTGACAACAAATCAGATAGTAGCAGTTACGAGTTACTAAACCTTGTAACTGTCTTTCTTTTTGCTGTCTAATTTGTCTTCCCTTGTAACTGAGTGTTTATTACATACAATTAAATGCATGCCACTATTTTAATCAATATCTTCATTGCCATCGATGCTATATGATTTGCCGCGTACTTACGTTCATGAATGTTATTATTCTGTAGGATTAGTTCGTTCCATTATTTCATTTTGGAACAAGCTTTACATCCTTCAAACTCAACAATACATAATCCATAAAATAATTACTTATTGAATTTCAGTGGATACTTATTCCGACATAATTATTCGGCATACACTAAGGGTTTGCATTACATAATAGCTTTATGCGTTCAATTCTAATTCATGAAACAATATCGATGCTTCTCTCTTCAGTGGAATATTATATCGGCCTATTAAATGTACACAATTGTATGGTTTCTTCCCAAAGGGTATCATCACTACGTAATACATGTTCAGACGCTTTACTTATACAGTACAGTACTACCTAGTATTCAGTAATGATAGCTATCTTTGTTACACACACACACACACACACCCACACACACACACACACCCACACACCCATTTATAATATACATATATATATATATATTATATAAGTCATCAAAGGTACATATACAGTGTTTAATAAAGACATGATGGGAACATCGTAGGCTACCCTGTAGCTTTTCAACGAATAAAGTCCTATAAAAG